CCGCCCTCGGCCCCGCCCCCTCCCCCGCCCCCGGCGGAGCGCAGTCACGTGATCCAGGCTGTCTGAGCGCAGCGGCGCTGTCATGGTGGGCCAGATGTACGGCTCCCCCAGCAGCCGCCTGGCCCTGGCCCTGACGCGGGCGCTGGCGCTGGCCCTGGTGCTGGCCTTGCTGGCCGGGCTGTTCCTGAGCGGCCTGTCGAGGGCGATCCCGGCTCCGGGGGGCCGCTGGGCACGCGATGGGTCTGTCCCCCGCGCCTCCGGCAGCCGCTCGGTGGTCCTGGACACCGCGGCGGGCCAGCTGCTTCTGGTGGACGGCCGCCACCCTGACGCCGTGGCCTGGGCCAACCTCACCAACGCCATCCACGAGACCGGGTAAGGGTTGGCCCGTCCCCGCGAGGGGTCATCGGGGGAGGGGGTTGTGTGGGCGCCGGACCTCGCTTGTGCCTGGGACCGGCCTCTTGCCCGGTGGGAGCGCCCGTTTTCCTGGGGGTCAGCTACTCCCAAGGCTACAGCACCACACTGTGAACCAGTTCCCTGTTTGGGAGGGGGCTCCTGCAGCATCCCTCTCCTCATAGGGCTAGTCCCTTGACTTCAGACGGTGATGACAGTACTTCTGTCCTCAAGATGCCAGTTCCCCACCACGAGGCCGCAGTGCCTGCATCTGGATCAGGTCCATGGCTGGTGGCTAATACAATAACTTCTATTCCCACAGGGACTAGCCCCCTTGCCCAGACTTTGCCTCCTCTCCCCATGGAGGCCAGTCCCCTGCCTCCAGGCTTGAGGGGTGATGAGAACTCAACAGGAGGCTAATTCTCACCTGCTTGGCTGTGGCTTGCTCATGGGTGCCAGCCCCCTGCCTCCCTTCCAGCGCCAGGGCTGAGCAGGGGTTCCAGGCCAGTCCAAAAGCAGAGGGTCCCTAAATTCACATAGACCCACTTAGTACCCTGCTAGGGCTCTGCTCCTTCCTTGCCTTCTGTGTCCTGGTTCAAGGGGAAGTCATTGACTGGACGCTGTGTTTGGCAGCCATGCTCACCATCTGTATTGCTGGGACCCAGGCTGTCATTCTGATGTGTGAGTCTCACCTAACTCCTCCGCCTGTCTGGGCTCCCGTTTCCCCATCTGTGGCCCAGATTTTGAGGATGTGCTCTAGTTGGGTGGTCGTGTGGAGCAGGTTCTGTACAGGGCTAGCGTCTATTCATTTATTCATTATCCTGGTGCTTGGCCTTAGGGACACAGCTGAGCAATGTGGGGGTCCCTACTCAGTGGGAGAGACAGCGACAGAAGGGAAACTGAGGGCTCAGCTTCAAAGCCTTGTCAGCAGGGCCCAGGCATGGGATCCAGGCTGTGCTGGGGGATTTTAGGGAACCCGGGGTGCATTGGACTTATCCTAGTGCCCAGATGACACTCGGGAACCCTAGCACTAGGATATGCCCAGGATGTGGTCTGCGCTCAGACCACGGTGCCCCCTTCTGCAGAAAGGGCCTCCTCCCACTGCAGCTGCCATCCGTTTTGCTGGCATGCATTGACTTCTGCAGATGCTGGGAGACACAGGATGTGGAGGACACCCCCATTCTGGTGGCACTTGGGGGGTATCAAATAGATGTGAGATTTGGGGGAGATATTTGCTGCAGACACAGGAGCCAGGTGGAGCCAATCTGGGAAGGCTCCCAGGGAGAGGAGGCCACAGAGTGAGCTGGCATCTATGGAGGGAACTGAAGCTTTGTGGCTGGCCGTGGAGCCTGCTGGGACTCTGGGATCTGGTGACCCATTCTTTGCTGACTCACTCATGTTTTTGGCCCTGCATGGCAGAAACAAGAGGGCATGACAGAACTGTGCAGGGGAGGAGGCACAGGGACACCCAGCATGGGGAGGGGGCTTTGGCCTCCGGAGGCCCCTGCTGGGCTGTGTTGCTCTTGACTATGGTAAACACAGAAGTGAAGAGAAGGCCTCCTTGATTCTGCTGGATGGAAAGTTCTTCCAGGCTCAGCCCCTCTGCTGGGTGACCTTGGGCAAATCCCTTCACCTCTCTGAGCCTATTCTCTTATCTCAAGGTAGGGCCGAAAGGGTCATGGAAATTCATTGGGGTCACGGAAAGCACCGCTGTTTATTTTTATTTTTTATTTTTGAGAGAAAATTTAACTCTGTTGCCAAGGCTGGAGTGCAGTGGCATGATCTTGGCTCACTGTAATCTCTGCCTCCTGGGTTCAAGCGATTCTCATGCCTCAGCTTCCTGAGTAGCTGGGATCACAGGCGTGTGCTACCACGCCAGGCTAATTTTTGTATTATTAGTAGAGGTGGGGTTTCACCATGTTGGGCAGGCTGGTCTCAAACTCCTGACCTCAGGTGATCCGCTCACCTCTGCCTTTCTGACTTGTTTTCGGCACTCTCTCATCCTCTCCTCTTATGCTCACATGCCCCTTTCCCTCTGAGTTTGCCAGCACTTGAGGCTCTGATGGAGGGAAAACCATACAGGGAGCCCCATTTCACAGGCAGGGAACTGAGGCCCTCTGAGACAGCCACTTGAAGAATCAGGGTCAGATGAAAGAAAGCCATTGGGGGTGTCCTGGCTCCTGATCAGCAGAATCTCTGATCTCTGGGGGACTCTGTCTTGTTTCAGAGAGTGAGAGTCAGGGATTCGATGCCTCTGTTTTCTCAGAATTGGGATCCCTCCTTCTTTCTGGTGAAATCTCCAGATTTTGCCACTGGGGATCCTGGGATTGTCAGGATAAATTCTCCCTACTCCATAATCCTTTGTCTTTTTTTTTTTTTCTTTTAATCCTTTGTCTTTTTTATTAAATATATATATTTTTTTGAGACAGTGTCTTACTCTGCCGTTCAGGCTGGTGTGCAGTGGTGTGATCATAGCTCAATGTAGCCTCGAACTCCTGGACTCAAGAAATCCTCCCACTTCGGCCTCCCAAGTAGCTGGGACTATGGATACACACCCCCATGCCTGATTAATTTTTTATTTTATTTTTGTAGAAATGGGGTCTTGTCATGTTGCCCAGGCTGGTCTCGAACTCCTGGGCTCAGGCGATCCACTCACCTTAGCACCCTCAACTGCTGGGATTACAGATTTGAGCCACTGGGTTCAGCCCCTTCTTTCAGTTGTGCTGTATCTGACTTTGGGCCAACCACACAGCCTGGAAACATTTAGGATTTGGTGCTTGGAGATCAGAGATGTCACTGGGAGCAGAGCCTGCCTTAGTCTACTTCTGGCCTTGGTCCTGGGGAAGCTGTATCCTCCAACCTTACTTTGTCTTCCTTCCTTGATCTGATCCCACTGACCAGCATCTATGAGGCTGCTTGAAGTAAATCACCATCCCACTGAGAGAGGAAGTGAATCAAAATAAGAGGGAATTACAAATTAGTAAACCAGGAAGCATCCCCAATCCACCAACCAACAGGCAAAAACAGCCCAGTAAAATGGATAAATAAGGTCTGGCTGTTTCTTTGAATAATGACAAGAGATGAATCTCTACCATCAAGAATGAGAAAGGAGGCCAAGCACGATGGCTCACGCCTGTAATCCTAGCATTTTGGGAGGCCAAGGCAGGAGGATGGCTTGAGGCCAGGATTTAGAGACTAGCTTGGGCAACATGATGAAACCCCATCTATGCAAAAAATTAAAAAATTAGCCGGGTGTGGTGTCACATGCCTGTGGTCCCAGCTACTTGTTTGAGCCTAGGAAGTCGAGGCTGCCATGAGCCGTGATTGCACCACTGCACTCCAGCCTGGGCAACAGAGTGAGACCCTATCTCAAGGAAAATAAAAAGGCTGAGATAGAAGTGATAGCCACAGATACGGGGGCATCCCACATAATGGACAGCGTCCACAGCCATACTGGTCTGCGGAAGTGGGGTGCTGATACTTGTGAAGTATTTGTGGTCCTCTGCTCATCTCATATCAGTGGTCTGACTTTCAAATGTCCCCTCTTTCAAGAGGCACCTTGATTAGACTCTTGAGTCATCTTAGAGACATTAGCTGCCCCTGGCATGAAGTCAGCGTGGCCCACGGACTTTCCAGGAAAAAAAAAAAAAAAAGATTGAGAAAACAGACCTCCAGCTGCCAACTTTTAATTTTTCTCAAGCAAGTGCATTAAAAGCAAAGCAGAGCAGCGTTTGTCAACCCCTGTCAGTATTTATCTCATAAAAGATTTTAGAGCAATTTTAGAGCAAGCAAGCGGAAAGGACATACTCTCTGAATAAAGAGTAGTCTTCTTTTCATTTATTTATTTTTTTGAGATGGAATAACTCCGCCCTGTCACCCAGGCTGGAGTGCAGTGGCATGATCTTGGCTCACTGCAACCTCCGCCTCCCGGGTTCAAGTGATCTTCCTGCCTCAGCCTCCCTAGTGGCTGGGATTACAGGTGTGTGCCACCATACCTGCCTATTTTTTTTTTTTTTTTGTATTTTTAGTAGAGGTGGAGTTTCAACATGTTGACCAGGCTGGTCTTGAACTCCCAGCTTCAGCTGATCTGCTCACCTCAGCCTCCCAAAGTGCTGGGATTACAGGAGTGAGCTACTGTGCCTGGCCAAAGAGTAGTCTTTAATAAGCGCATCTAATGATAGATACACTCTACGGGCACAGTAGCTTGTGCCCGTAATGCCGGCACTTTGGGAGGCCAAGGCAGGGGGATTGCTTGAGCCCAGGAGTTTGAGACCAGCCTGGGTAACATGGTGAGATCCTGTCTCTGCAAAAAATATTAAACAATTAGCTGGGCATGGTGGTGTGTGCCTATAGTTCCAGCTACTCGGAGGCTGAGGTGGGAGGATTGCTTCAGCCCAGGTGAGGCTACAGTGAGCTGTGATCACACCACTGCACTCCAGCCTGGGTGACGGAGCGAGACCCTATCTCAAACAAAAAAACCCCACAAATTTCTAGCAGTTTAGAAAGAGAGGATGGGATATAAAAACCTCCCCATATAGTTTTTCCTAGATATAAACACTTTTAGCTCTTTCTTCCAGAATTTTCTATGCATAAAGAGGCCTAAACCTTCTTGCATGCATATATATGTAGAGGCATACGTGTGTGTGATGCATTTACATGTGGGCTTAGCCTGTGCCTACCATCTGGACTTCTCTACCTTTTTTTTTTTTTTTTTTTTTGAGACGGAGTTTCGCTCTTGTTACCCAGGCTGGAGTGCAATGGCGCGATCTCGGCTCACCGCAACCTCCGCCTCCTGGGTTCAGGCAATTCTCCTGCCTCAGCCTCCTGAGTAGCTGGGATTACAGGCACGCACCACCATGCCCAGCTAATTTTTTTTATTTTTTTTTTGAGACAGAGTTTCACTCTTGTTACCCAGGCTGGAGTGCAATGGCGCAATCTCGGCTCACCGCAACCTCTGCCTCTGGGTTCAGGCAATTCTCCTG